CAAAGTAAACTTAGTTTTGATTTCTGTGTATTTATCTCGAAAAGCAACGAAAATCCAATACAATATATTAATAGGCCTAACGTCGTTAAAACTGACAAAATAGTTTTTAGCCTAGGAAAAGGTAAACTTACCGGGGGTCGCCGCCGTTGTAATAGCCTCTTGCAGTCGGGACGACAGAGCATTTTTTGAGCCTGAGAAGCTATGCGACACCGGTAGCTGGTCGTTTTTATCCTGCAGAACAAGGGGAACACCATATCCTATATGAAACAGAAATCGCCATCAAGGCTACACACACTCACACATCAGTAATTTACCACACAGGCTACTTTAGAAAAGCATTAAACTTTAAAGACGTAAACTTATTCAATAACATGTATATCGCCTGTTGCTGCAGCTGTGACTGACTCCACGCTGCACAAGGCATGTAAGGCCTACCTCTTCCCCCTCGGTGACTAAGCTCGACTTGAGATCGGTCAAGTTTTCCGAAGAGCGGTTTTCTTCCTCTCCCTCATCTTTAAACACTTTTATCTCATCCGAAGAAGCTAAATCGTCGCCACCGCCGCCACCAACGTGCGGCATCCTTCAAAGTGCTAATAGGCACCAGTACAGAAGTGTAAATTCCTAGGCGAACCAAGCAATTTCACCGCCCGCTTTGACTGAAACCTCGCCGACATGAGCGGACCCCATCCCACTGAAGTACTTAACTTTCCGACAAATCAGATTGCGCGAAGGAACGACACTTTATGTGACAGCCAATCAGCGAGTAAGCCATTCTTCGCTGAGTTGTTCTAGCATGGCGGAAATACTGATTGAAGAGTTTTCCCAGCGACACTGAGCCGAGAATGTACACTTTCATTGCTAGCCCTAACAGGTTCCATAACCTGGGATATTATCATACCCTGAAGCAATCTAATTCGCCCCTGTACTTGAACTGTTGCGTCTTTCGTTTAGGGGCAAGCCTATTAATTTGAACAAAAAGTTAAAATCGTCTGTCCAAGAAAAATATTCTTAAATCAGTTATTTCTGAAAATTACGAATTTATGTTTTATTCCGAACGATATAACTGTTTAATTGAAGCCTAACTTTTTACTTTACCTGAAGATATATTTGAACTTTGCATCATGCTGTGAATGTTATTTATAACGAAATTTTTGCTATTTGTCTGCATAAGACAATTGCAATTAAAAATAAGATGTGTGATAATAACGTTAAGTTTTATCCAGTTGTGTATTTAAAGGTCTTTCCTGGATGAAGAAGTATTCCTTTAAAAGTTAGTTAACCATAAAATTTAGCTTTAAAATTTTACACACGGAAATGATGCCTGGAATCTATAAAAATGGTTGACTTTAATCCCGATTTTTACATCACTGACCTTTGCCATATCGTTCATCTTTCTATTTCAATAACATCAGTTTTTAATTATTTCATATTGTATCATTCACTATGAACAATTCACAAGAGAAGAAGGGCTGGGCGTGGCCAAGTGGCTAAAGTGTCGATCTATGGATCCAAGGATCCATGGTTCGAGTCCCATTGCCGAAAAAGTCGCGATCTGCAGCCTGATAAAAGAGTAGACGAAGAGTTTGTGGTGGATGCTTCTTAACTAGCTTCATTCTCTCTCTAGTTCATCAGTTCGAAATTAGAGAGGTCTAGTGCTGATAGACCTTGTGTAGCTTTCCGTTAATAATATTATGTTTCACGCATTCCGTTAAAAAGGTATTTCTGAATCTTTTAAAATTAATTGTAATTGTGTGGTAGCTGAAAAACCGTGTCAAGATTTATCATTACTGTGGAATATGTTGCGTGATAAAAATGTTTTTTTTTTTCTTTATCTGTATAAAGATTAAAATTGTATTTACAACCTGCAACTCTACAAATATTTCATTGTTTTTGTAATCTCTCTCGGTATGTACAAGTTGGAATGATATATTTACCTAAAAATATCAAAACTAAGTTAATTTTTCTGATAGTGTGTAACACTTGAGGGCGCAAAGAACCATATTACAGTAGATTAAGGCAGATTAATAGGGTGGAAAATTTAAATCTAGGCCGAAATATAATCGTATATGTTATATGAGACTTTTACGTACATTATAAACACAACAAAATAAATCAAACTTGACACTATTTACACTGCATTATTTTACTCACGTGCTGTACAACTGAAGTTACAGTTGATTTGGCTCTTAATTCATTCAGTAAAGAATCATCTCAAGAGTTACTCTGAACCATATCTGATCTGATGAATCAGGGACTAAGCTGAATGTAATTTCAGGTTTTACAGGAAACTAATAGAATGATTCGATGTGAGCAATGCCAAGTTGCTTTGTTTTGCTGTGTTCATGAGACATCTATCATCAGGCCCTCTTAGAGAGACTCCCAGGCCACTTCTATCTTTTGAGGCCCCTGGATATAATACAAGTAAAAAACATGGTGGCACACGAAAACAAAGTAAGACAGTCATTAGCCCAAGAGAAAAGCGAATTTGAACATTTAATTTGTATTAAGCTTTGAATGTGTGTCACATTTTGGTCTGATTGGGAGGCACATAATAAAGGAGTCGCGAAACTTAATAAATGCAAAACAATAACAATTGTCTAAATTTGAGGCCACCTTTGAGACTCGGGTTAAATGGCCCCCTATAATTGACCCTATCTATCACCTAATATTTGAGCAAATACTTTTCTCATCACTCATGTTGCATTAACCCAAGACAAACTGCAATAATTAAAAATTCAAACACTATTCATAACTTGTGTAATTTCAAACAATTTTTATTATTAAAGCTATCGAAGTCCAGTTAAGTTTCAGTATTTTCCATTATACCAGCAAAGTGATAGTTTTGTTAGGTTATTGTCGTCTCCAACTCTGCTGTTCTCTCCGTTGTTGTTTTTGGTCTCTCCCGCCACCCCCCCCCCCCCCCAGCCACCAGTACTCGCCCCGGTGGTCTACTATTAAACCTATTATTAAACCTATTATTTAACTTGCTGTGTTCTAAGTCTTCTATTTCTAAAATCCTCGTTGCCCTAATTATACCATCAATTTGTTTATTCCCAATCCCCACAAGCTCCCCACCACTATTCAAGTTTAGTTTTGTTTGTTTTGAAGTTCCCAAAAGCTATTCGAGAGCTATCTGCGCTAGCCATCCTTAATTTAATAGTGATAGACTAGCGGTAAGGCAGCTAGTCAACACCACCCAACGTCAATTCTTGAACTACTCGTTACTAATGAATAGTGAGACTTGACGTCCCGTTATGACACCCTCACGGCTGAAAGGGCGAGCATATTTAATGACAGGGTTCGATCCCGCGACCCGCAGATTGTGAATCGAGTGCCCTAACCACCAGGCCATGCCAGGCTCATAAGGGTAGTTCAAGCTGTCTTTAATGAATATCTTTAAAGCTTCCCTAAACATCTTACTACCTAACCTGCTCCAACTCTAGCATAAAAATCACTCCTTCCCTGAAACTATCCCACAGACCTAACCAGTCCACCTTTTTCTGACGTTTTTTAAGCCTTCGATTCTGCTAAGTAATTAATTCCTGCATCTAGCCCGACAGAACAACCAATCGTGAAAGGGTCGTGTATATAAGCACCTCTTCCGGTTTACAGTTTCACTCTCTAGAATCAAGGAAAGTCCCTTGACAATTAAACCATCAACACGCTCTATAATGTCTTGAGGTTTATCTCTAGCAAGCAAATTATGTTCCAATTTTTTCCATGCTTCCCACTGCAAATAACTTTATTAATATATCTAATGAGAGAGAGAGTTTTCCACTGTGTAAACTTCTTGATCATTACGTTCCTCATTGTAAGCATTCCGAAGTTCGAGTCTATTAGAGACTGTTACCCGAATGTTAACTAAGCCTAACTTTATGGCCTCAAAGTTTTTACTGTTCTCCACCCTTGTAAACCAAACACTTTCATTCCCACTCTTCCCTAAAGTAACTTTATCTCAACTCTACGCATTTCTTAACTGTTCTCCACCCTTGTAAACCAAGCACTTTCATTCCCACTCTTCCCTAAAGTAACTTTATCTCAACTCTATGCATTTCTTAACTGTTCTCCACCCTTGTAAACCAAGCACTTTCATTCCCACTCTTCCCTAAAGTAACTTTATCTCAACTCTACGCATTTCTTATCTTATTTCTTTAATCCCTGCTCCTAATCTGGTATTTTAACCCTCTAATAGTCCATCCAAACCTTTCTCTAACTTATCCTCAAGTGAGTAAGCCCCACAAATGTAGCGTATTTTATCTTTCTGGGCTTCCTCGAAGTCGAAATCAAGCCCACAATTCCCAAACCTGGCACGTATTGATCCCATCAAATTCTACCCCACCTATCCCTGAAATATCTCTAACCCAGTCATCAAAATACAGTTCACCAACTTTGTCCAGTTGACACCGAAACCGTAGTTGCTCAAGCAATGTGATAATATAAATAGTTTTTTTAACTAAGTCCGTCGTATCCAAATCGGCCTGAAAAAACTCTAGTATTGGACGAAAGGCCACGTCGGCTCTGGATGTAGCAGATATGGCGTGGTTGATATATTATTATTATACACTCTTTTATTTTTTACTTTTGATCAGAAGCTTTTAGAATGTCTAGCCTTTATTCTATAAAATGAGTTTACCCACCCAATAACCGTATATTTAACTAATATTAATCTCTTTTTTTTTCAAAGTTTGTAGATTAATCGAACACTAAAATCCCCCTATTAACTAATAATGGAACTATTACTTACTAGTACACCACGTCACGTAAATAATTACTAATTTAAATATTTTACTAACGTATTAAACTCTCAGCAACTAACAAGTAACAGGAACAATAAGTTATCATTTTAAGATACACAAATTTATATCCTTATGGAGGATTTATAATCATAAAATCGAGCATCATGATAAAAACTGAAAAATAAACCGTTTTGAATAACGTACAGATAGACAACAATTTTACGTTTCGTCTTATCTCCTAAATGAAACGTGTTTTTGTTTTTTTCTGGAGCTTAGTATGGAAAGATTATAAGCATCATTCTTATATTTCTCTATATATATCGTTTCAGAGGATAAAAGTAATTATAAGAGGAACGTTTAGTTTTCTTCGTTACTTTCAGAAGATAAGAAAGCACTAACATTTGAATTTTTGCGGTTTCTTTGTTAGCCTCAATAAATTACTCGTATAAGTATTATGAGTGGAATATTCGTATTTTCTTCGTTATTTTCAAGGAATTATTAGAAATGGTAGTGGACTTTTTGGTAGTTTCCTCGTTAATTCAAGGATATTATAAGCATTAGACGTAGAGTTTTGAATTTTTGCGGTTTCTTTGTTAGCCTCAATAAATTACTCGTATAAATATTATAATTGGAATTTTCGTATTTTCTTCGTTATTTTCAAGGAATTATTAGAAATAGTAGTGGACTTTTTGGTAGTTTCCTCGTTAATTCAAGGATATTATAAGCATTAGACGTAGAGTTTTGAATTTTT